CCCTCCATGCCGTCCTATGTGCCACATCCTGTTCCTCTGGTCGTCTGTTAATGGCACATTCCTTTTCAAACAGATTATTAAAATAGTCCCCCCCCCAGATCTTGACCCTCGCTGTGCTACCCCCCGTTTCCCACCAGACAGCAGAGAGACTCTTGAAGAAGGTTCTGGAAGATGGTAGTTTTTTTGTCTGTGGAATCTGTGACGTTATTCTTTGTTTTTTTAAAAAAAAGCTCCAAGCACTTCTTCAAAGACGAAAATAGAATTGCCAAGAAGAACGGCAGCATCAATCCATGGAAATTAGTGTAACTATGTTATTATTTTTTCATTCATGTTATTAACTCAGTGACTTTCCTCATACCAGGGACTGTTGGGATTTTGATATATGTGGCCGTCTTTCCTCCTAACCATGAGGCTTGAGGTTAGATATTGTTATATCCTTTTTATAGGTGGCAAAGCAGAGGCTCAGAGAGGTTGAGTACCAACCTCAGGTCACACAGCCCCTGGGCTCAGGCTGTGAGCAGCCTGATAACGTGTCACAGGTACAGTGTGGGTTGAGATGAGGACACATGGACAGAGGTGTCCAGGAGGCCCAGCTACTTCATCTTCACTTGGTCAGTTTGACCAGCATTAGGGTCTCCCTCAGTTCTTTCTAAGCAAAGAGAATTTTTACCCTCAGATTCGGCCCCAGTGAAAATGGACCATTGAGGGTCTGGAGGTGATGTCTAAGCCGATGCTTCAGGAAATCAATGTGTCCACTGATACCTGGGGGCCACCACTTCCAGGTGCTGCTGCTGCTGTTGGCGTTCCTGAGATGGAACTTTGGGTTGCAAGGGGCTAGCAGATTTGAATTCTGCTCCCACGTCCACTGTGAACTCTCTGTGGGGCTTTAGGCGGCTCTCTTGCCCTCTCTGAGCCTCTGCTTCTTTCTTTGATTAATGAGGAGGGGACACTGATTGTCCCCTTCTAGAACATTCTCTGAAGAGTTAGAAACCACATACAGGGGCTGTGTCGTGGCTTCTGTAATTTGCCAGAAAGCCACGCCACCTGCTAGGGTGAGGGGTGTCCTCCTAGAGTCCCCGGGGAACCCATCAGCAGGTGACGGGAGGTGGTTGCGGGCAGGTGGGGATGGTCCTGAGCCCTGGCATCGAAACCAGCAGGCAGGGCCCAGGGGTGGCGTGGCCCTGGAGGAGCGGCTGGAGAGGTCTCTGTTCATCATCGAAATGGCGCATTTGCAATGATCGGTTGCCCAGGTGTTAATAACGCTAATGGCAGAGGAAGGGTAAACTTGGTCACTCGGCTGAACAGAGAAATATGCAGAGAAGCGCTGGGGTTTCCATAAATCAGCCGCGTGCCGCGCGACTAGGGAGGCAGGACTTAAAATTCCAGTCAGGAGATGGGCATTCTCGGGATCTGAGCGGGAGAGGTAATTTATTCTGTTTATATCTTTTTACTGCACTACAGGACTTGGGAGCAGGGCCCTCCGCAGCCATTCTGCATTTTAAATATTAGTCCTGAGCACGGGGGGCCGGCCCTCGTGCTCCGAGGGGCATTTATTTGGGGGCAGCAGAAGAGGGACAGGGACGGCAGTGAGGGGGTTGGGAGAGGTGGGGTTGAACTGGGTTGGCCTGAATTAGGGGTGGTGGGGACAGGTGACAGCCCCTTTTTCCAGAGCTGGGGGGACGTCCCACCTCCACACCTTACAGTGGTTTTTTTCCCCACCTTCTTGGAAGCCTTTTATTTTTAAATGATAATAGATCCAGGCGATGGGGAGATAGAAGATGAACGGATACATTAATAGAGAAGGAGAGGGACAAGGACATCGGGGCAGGGGGAGAACAAGGGCAGCCTGGAGAGGCCAGGTCCTCGGGTCTCTGACCTTGGCAATCTGCCTACGCCCTTTGCCCTTCGAGCCAGCTGCTGTTCAAACGTGGAGGGGGCTTTTTAACAAACCCAGTGGAGGTGCTAGAGGAAGAACCAGCATTGGCCAGGTCCTCTCTAGAAGACCCCCCTCCCTGGTCACCGCCTTCCCTCATTCGCTCATTCATTCACTCACTCTCCCAGCCATCTTCCCATCCGCGGGTTTGTGTCATTAGACATCTGTGCAGGGCTCTGTCCCGCACCCAGGGGCAGCACAGATTCTCAAAGCAGAAAAGCCTTGATTCAAAACCCGGTCCGGCCCCATCCACAGCTCACTTTACCCCTTGGACCTCAGGCTCTTCTTCTGTGAAGTGGGGATAACAACACTCATTCAGAAGAGGGTCATGAGGTTTAAGGGGGACTCTCGTCAAGGGGTCCAGGCAAGCAGAATCCTGTAGGGCTGGTCGGGGGAAGCTCCATCTAGGCAAAGCCGCCTCGGTGGGGTGGGCCTTGGCGTATATGCCATTTTATCAAACACCCCCTCCCGTCATACTAAGAAGACGGCGGTGGGTGCTGAATCTGGATTCTGGAGCCCTCCCCAGAGACCTTGATGGGGACCCCCAGGTTATCTAGGGATCTCCTGATTCAACCAGGCCTGGTTCTTCCTCCCACACTGAAGTCACAGGCACCTGAACGGCAGGAATGTGCTGTGTGACGTGGGCCCACCTGGGTAGGGATGGGGGCGTGGGGTTTTTGTGTCCATGGGGGTTGTGGGGGAGGGGTGTGCACACGTGTATACAGGCCGGCAGGTGTGTGTTCACACACTGTTCTGAGCACACATATGTCACTGTGGGTGCCTGCCACACACCTGCCTGTATCCACGTGTGTCTGCATATGCAGAGGCTTGGTGCGGGGGGTGTCCATGTGCCCGGTAATGCCGTCTGCAGGTGGTTTCTATTGTACACACATGTTTGCATGGGCGCATGAGCTTGTGCATGCCCGCACGTGTCTCTGGTGTGTGTGTGTGTGTGTGTGTGGGCACCTGAAGGGGGTAGCGGAGTCTGCTGCCACATTGATGAGCTCGCTGACGCCTCTGGGCACAGGTATCTCCTTCAGGCAGGTGGTTGGGTGACAGGACACCGTGGGGCCTGGGCAGTAGCGGTGGCACCCCTGAGGGGTGTTCCTCCTGGAGCAGGCATCCTCCCTCCCTCCCTCTCCCTCTCCCCCTCTCTGCCTAGCCCTCCTCCATCTTCCTCCCCCTCCCCCTCCCTCCCCCCTTCCCTGCCTCTGTCACTCTGTCACAGCCTGTTCCTGGAGGAGCAGGGGTGGGGGCAGGTCCTCTTTTTCCCAGCTTTCCCTGTCTCTGGTGACAGCCCCTCTGCAAAATCCACACGTGCGCAGGAGTCACCAGGAACCCAGCAGGGACGGGGTCCACCTTGCAAATTTTCCTCTGGCCTCTAGAGTCCATTTCCCTGGGGCACCGCCGAGGAAGAGAAGCCCACCCCAGTGCTGGGATTGAATCTCTGCTCTGTCACTCCCCAGCTGTGTGACCGTGGGCAAGTCCCTTGACCTCTTCGAGCATCCTGATGGGACAAATAATACCTTCCCTGATACAAGTCCAAACAGCCAGCCACCGCAGTACTCATTCCAACAGGGAGGAAGTGGTGGGCACCGGAAGCTAACCCAAACGTCTCCACTACAGAATTATCTAAACACACACGCACACGCGCGTGCACACACACAACACACACGCACACGCAGCTCACCCATTCAAGGGATTTTAAGCAATCACAGGGGATGATATAACTCTGATTATGATCAGTTCATGAACCTGGAAGATGTTGCTGGATGAGCCAGAGCAAGTGACCCCAGGGCGCCCTCAGGGCACCATTTCTTTTTTTTTTTTTTTTTAAATTTATTTATTTTTAGTTCTCGGCGGACACAACATCTTTGTTTGTATGTGGTGCTGAGGATCGAACCCAGGCCTCACGCATGCCAGGCGAGCGCGCTACCGCTTGAGCCACATCCCCAGCCCATGGGCACCATTTCTAGTTTCAAAATGAGGGGGAAAAAAATTAAAAAGCCAGGGAGGAAACGCACCCACCCCAGGACCACAGGGCTCCACACGCTGGACGACGCCATTTTCTTCTTTTTGTGCGTCTGAAATTTCAACAATTTCCGCAGTGAGCAAGCAGCACCCCAAGTGAGGGTGACGAGGGACGCTAGGCACCTATTTTTATCTAGTTCACCTATTTTCCTAACCCTCTAGTGCCTGAGTGGAAAGGGGGTGTAAGCAGCTGTCCCTCCAAACCCCACTTTCGCAAGTCAGGAAAGTGAGCAAAGAGGGTTGGAGGGGCTTGTCTGGGGGTAGTGGCCTCGGGCCCCCTAAATCTCCCACAGCCCTCTTTCTGCCCTGCTTTCCCCAAGGACATAAAATGTACCCAGGACTGGGGAGCGCTCCAGCACTGTTCCCCACGGGGCCCTTGGGTACTAACGCAGCCTTGCAGATAAAGCGCGGGCTCCTGGGGCCGGCTCCCTTTTCTTTCCTCCTCCATCTTTCTGTTTTGTTTTGTTTTTGGCCAAAGTAAGGGAACATGCACAGGAGTGAAGCTAGAGTCCTTTTCACGTGTCGGAAAAACACCCATCACACACGCATTCACACATCAGGTCTTCTGCTGATGCACACACAGGCCCACTCTGTGCTTGAGTCGGCTTGTGGTCACGCTGGGCCTTACTTCAAGATGGGGAGACCTGGCCTGGCTGTAGCAACCACCAAAAACTGGCCACCACTTTCACCAACCCAGTGGGCACCCCACAACTGCCCCTTTGATGAGGAGAGGCCTTTGTACCCACTGAATCTGTTCCAGGCAGGTGAGAACAATGGTCTCATTCACTCTGTCAAGGTAAGCACAACCAAAGGAAGGAGAAATCAGAGACAAAAGAAAGCCACACAGCGCGGAGGGAAAAAAGAATTTTTTTTTATTAATATTTCTTAAAAAACGTTGATTTTTTTTTGTTTTTGTTTTTTTGTTTTTTTAGGTAAACCTCTTTCTGCCTCCCCTCCCCACTCTGCCCACCCTCCCTCTTAAAAATATAAAAATGTCCAGCCCCCAGATAACTAGAGTACAATAAATAAACAGTAAACACAAAAACATACTTTATTTGTTTCTTCTTTATACAAAATAAGGAAACTAGAAGCGTTCGACTTCCAAAAAAGTATAATATTGTACATCCTGACGGCCCAACTCCAGGCCCTGGGGCAGGGAGGGTGGTCTGCGGGCCAGAGCCCAGCAACTTGGTGCCTCGCTCAGGGGCAGAAGTGGGCGGTGTTCGAGTCCAACCTGGACCCCCAGGCTCAAAATTAATGTCAAAGGAAGGAAGGGCAGGGAGCTGGCCCCTCTGGCCACAACCCGACAGCCCCACATCCTGGAAGAGCTGACCTTGAGCCTTCGTATTGGCCACCAGGGGGCGCCAGCCTGCAGGTGGCTCTGTCTCCCCGGGTCCCCCTGATGGAGTGTGTGCCTCTCTCGCTCACCCTCTCCATCTTCTCTCTCTGCCTGACGCTTTCCTCATCTCTCTCTCTCTCCCTTTCAATCTCTCCTTTTTCTTATCAAAAAAAAATTTAAAGATGGAGAAAGCCGAGCGAGAAATGAGATTACAAAATGCCACTCGGATTGCAGAGAGAGAGGGAGGGGGAAAAAAACCCACCGTCTCCGCCCCTGGCCTCACCCCCTCTCCGTCCAAAGAGCTGGTGGGAGGGTGGGGGCCGCGATCCAGAGCGTGCTTGGAATCTCTTGACCCTCCGGAATATTGACTTTGGTCCCAAGAAATTGCTCACGGCTGCCCGGAGAGCGCTGGCGGGCGGCTGGCTGAAGCTGGAGAGCCCCCGGGGTGCAGATGGGGGTCGGCCCCCCTCGGCGCCCAGCCGAGGAGCAGCTTCCAGTTGGGTGCGGACCCGAGAGAGAACTCCTGAGGGAGATCCGGGCCGCGTCCGCGTCGGGCGTTTTGGTTTCGGAGGCTGCGTCCGGGCTGCGCCCCTGGGGGCGGTGCGCAGGGGCGGCCCGGCTGCGGCCTTACCACACGGCGGCCTCGTTGAGCTCGGGGTTGGGGTGCGACAGGGGTCCGCTGTAGCCGCTGGTGCCGCTCATGGGGAAGGGCGGGCTGGGCCCGCCGCTGAACACCTCGCCGGGCATGGGGTGCAGCGCGCCCGGCAGCCCCGGCTCGGGGCTCGGCGTGTCCGGGTGCGAGATCATGTCGGTGAACCTGGGGTTGTCCGCGGCGTGCGGGCCGGCGAGCGGCGGCTCCAGCGCGCCCAGCGGCGTCGATCCGGGCCCCGAGGCAGCCAGGAAGCTCGAGTCGGCCGGGGACTGCGCCTGCGACGGCGGGCCGTGCGCGAAGAAGTCGTAGTTGCTTCCCGGCGCGTAGTAGTCGCCTTGGTAGTCTGCGGGAGGGAAGCGGGAGGGGAGAGGCAGCAATGAGACACCGCCACGTCCCGGAGGGGCCCGCGGGATCCCGGGACGAGGCCCCCTGAGACCAAAGCCTGCCTGGGACGCATCGACGTGGTCACCGGCGCAAAAGACCTTACAGACGCGAGAGGGGGCGTTAGTGGGGGACAGCGCGACAATAACTCGAGGTCAGAGACCCAAGGCGGTCTGCAGAGACTGAGGGAGAATGAGGTTCGGGCCCCTGGAGATTGGGGAGGACGCAGCAGACCCTCGGGTAAGGCTGGGGAGAAAGATAATGAGAAATACTCGAGATTTCGAGGGACAGCGGCAAGAGAGGCGCAGCGACCCAGGAGACAGACCCGGAATGAGGCAAATCTTCAAGTCCCAGAGGCGGAGGGGGACAGCAGTGGTCAGAGACGCAGAGACAGCGAAGGACTCCAGAGTCTTAGAGTCGGGGAGGGGCACGGGCAGAGGCATCGGGGGAAGGCCGAGGCTAGTGGAAAGCGCAAGAGGCACAGCAGCGGGGAGTCACCAGACTTGGAGACCCAGAGATGCCGAGGATCGGGACACAGAAGCAAGGGCCGGATAGGGATCAGAGGTCGAGTAAGAGTCCTGGCTAGAGATAGACCAGAAAACCGAGGGTGGCCGGCGAAAGGCTTAGGAGCAAGACGCAAGATGAAGAGGCAGATGCGTCCAGAGACCGTGAGACAGTGGGCCAGCGAGATGAGCCCAAGAAACCGCTGGAGACGCCGAGGCAGGGGAAGGAGCCGGGTGGTAATAAATGAGCGAAACTCGGGCAGCGGGACCACAGAGGGGCTGTCCAGTTGAGCTCCCAGAGCTAACCTGGACGCAGAGTGGGCAGGCCACCCGAGCCCCTTCTCTTCCGCCCCTGAGCCCCACCGACCTGGTCGGGTCTTTTGCCCTGCCAACCACAGCCCCTGCAACCCTCCTGGTGGAGGCGGGAGAATGCAGGCTCTGTTTGAACCGCTCTGCTAGCCTGGAACAGAGAAACTGAGCCCTGGCCACTCGGCAAATAAGGAGAACATTGGAAGGCACCTGGGGTGGTGGCTTGGTTCTCCAGTTTCATTCTGGGTGCACAGGCCAGGGCACCAGGTTCTGAATCATTGGTGAAGGTTTAATCCTTTGCAGAAGCTAATGAGATCTACCTGCTCTCTCGCAAGAAAAAAACTGACAGATGCGTATGACACATCCAGGGGTTCCAGGACTCCAGGCCACAGGTCATCCTCCAACAAAAAATTGTTTCTGCATCAACCCTTAGGCCTCCTTCCACAGCCTCTCCTCCAGGTCTTTGGGGACAGCATGCTTCCCTCCCCATTTGGGCCCCTCAAGTATTAGGGTATGGCACCCTTTTGAAAGGAGCACTTTGTAGCCTGCTCTAGTGTCAACAACCCGCTTTGTACGGTGGGAAAACCAGCTCCTCCATAAGCCAGGGTCTCTTCTGCAAACCCACTCCTCCTACTCAGTCCTGGAGTCTCGGTCACAGGCCAAGTTTCAGACGCCCTCCCCCCTCACCACCGCCCTCCGCCCCCTTTCTTCTCCAAACCCTGAAATCTGTCCAAAATGGGGGGTGGTGTCTGGAGGCGCGCCCTGGAGACAGCTTAGGCTATGGCTAAAACCCTCGCCGGTTACTTTTTTTTTTTTTTTTTTTTAACTACAAATTCCATTCTCCCCGGAAAGTGAAGGAAAAGGTTCAGAAAAGCGAATTTGGGTCCTAAACGGACGGAGATGGGGACGACCGCGGCCCGCAGCGAGCCGGCAAACCAGCGAAGGCCGCGGCCCCCGCGCGGTGCGCGCCGCCTCCGCCCATATGGCGGCCGGGCCGGAGGTAATTGGAACAAACGCCGTCTGAAAAGGGCACAAAAGCCGCAGCTGGGGCTTTGTCCGCGCTCCCACGGGGAGCCGCCGGCCCCGCCGCCCGGCCCCTTTCTCGCCCGCTGCCGGCCGCCACCGCCGGGATCTCCCAGCGCGGATTAGGCGGGGCTGCCTCGCTGGGGGCTGGGGAGTCCGGTCCCCCGCTTCATTCCGGGATAAGAGGGGCCCCGGTGTCCTGCCCCCCACCCCCAGCAGGCGCGCAGGGAGAGGAGGCGGCGGGATTGGTGCGGGGCGCCCCGGTTCTCCGGTAAACTTTGGTTAATTACTCAGGCGGGGAAAAATTCCGGGTCAGTACCGCCTCCCGCACCTCCCCGCTCCCGCCCGAGGTTTTGTGCAGGTGCAACGAGTGGGTGAGTGGAGACCCCGGAGAACACACCCACAATCTGGACTGTCCAGGGCTGGGCAGAGGGGGCTCCCTAATACGCGCCCCGGAGGCCGGTCTCTGGGTTCTCTTACCTCCCTCCTGGAGGCCTGGCTCCTGCCTTCCCTCCCTTCCCTGCTTTGTCCCTGGATCTAGTTTTTAAAGGGCAGTTGCCTTTCTCAAACTGGGTTACTATCCCAGAGCAGGCCCGCAGCGGAGTCCTGCAGAGGTGTGCAGGCTCTCAGATTAGGCGCTCCCCTAGCTCCGGGAGCTGAGGCTCATGAGTAAGGAGAAGAAGGAGTTTTCTCTACCCCCCACCCCCCAACAGCGCTGCTAGTCCCCTGAGCAAAGGACTCAATGTGCGGGAGATGAGGTGGGAGTGGGCAGTTGGGATGGGTCAGCAAGCCCTTGTGAGGGGAAGGAGGTGGGGGAGAGGAGGAGGGGAGGAGAAGAAAGGGCGAGACCAAGTGGGGCGCCCACCCCAGGCTGAGACTGGTAATGCTGAATTTTGGAATTTTCCCTCGGCAATTGGGGTCTCAATCTCTCCAGACCTAAAGATGGGAAAGTGGACATCAAGCGGCCCCCAATCCAGATGAATCCCTGCCTGTCTGGGACTGGAACGAGGGCCCAGAGCAACTGCTGGCTTGTGGGCTAACAGGGCCCCTCCCCCAGCAAAACAGGAACTACTGCACTGCAAGCCGGGAGGACGCGGCCCAGGGAGGAGGAGGCCGGAGGGACTCTGAGCACTATCTCAAGCAGGGTTCCAGCTTCTGCCAAGTACACCAGGCACCTGGGCAAGGGCAGCCGGAGGGCTGTATGTTCCCGGGGCGCAGGTTCTTGTGGATTTGCCACTGACCGCACTATACTGAGGCCCAGGGAGGGCGGGGGTCTCTGGGTCTCTTTCTGGGTGTGTCTCGGTGACAGTGTGTGGGGAGTTGAGTGTACCTGTTGTGCGGGGTTCTGTGTAACCCTCCCTCTACTACCACATCCCGGCAGTCTCTGAATGAAAGCAAGCGCGCGGGCCCACGTGTCCTGGGGTGGTAGGTGAGGACAAGTGTCATGCTCTCCCGTGTGGTTATCTGTATATCACTGTGCCTGCTTTTGTCCAGGAGGTATCTGTGGATAAGGGTGCCCGAGTTGCTGTCTGTCTGTCCAGGGGTGTCCTTGATCGTGTGTCAATGAGAGGGAGCCAGGGGTGTACCCAGGTGCCCAACAGTGCGGCTGGGGGTGGAGCCGTACTTCCCCGCGCGCCCCTTACCTCCATAGTAGGTGTACGGGGTGGACCCCAACATCTCGGACTCGTCCAAGCGGCCCCCCAGCGGACGCATGCGCCGTGGACTCCGGAAGAAGGCGTGTCTCCGGGCGCCCAGCGCGCTCAGCTGTTTCATCCGGCGTTCTTTGGACCGTCGGTTCTGAAACCACACCTAGGAAGGAATTTGGGGCTGTGAGCTCGGGGTCAGGGGTGCCCTCGCTCCTCCCCCTGCCCGGGCTGCCCCTGCTGGAGCCCAGCGCCTTTTGCGCGCCACGACTCCCTTGAGGCGGGGGCCCGGTCGGATTAGGCCGGTAGGGGTGGAGAAGGGCCTCGGCGAACCAGCCAAGGGTGAAGGATTTCGCGGACCCGTGGGGCGACTCATAAAGACTTGGGCTTCCCGGTCCTCCGCTCGCCCGCGGCCTGACGGCTTTATAAAGGCCTCCCGCCCGGCAAGCTCTCGCCTCGGCTCCGGAGCCAGCCGGGCTCTGGCCGTTTGTCTGTCTGCCAGCGCATCGGTTGGGGCCGGGCATAGCTTTTCTTCGCTGGGAAGATAGGAGGGTGGGAGGGAAGGAGGGGGGTCCTGGACCCCAAAGAGGCTTAAAACCTAAGCTGAACAGGGTGGGGAGCGGAATTCAGAGAGGCAAAGTGGCCAGGTCCACTGTGACATCTTCAGGAGGACAGCGGGGCGGGACTGACTCTTTTGGCTCCAAGTTCCCCACCTCGGGCGGTGCCCAGCTGTCCCCGACCTCGGGTGCACTGTCTGTCCCTAGATCAGAACCCTGCACGTTTCTTAGACGAGGAGGCTGGGTGGAGGCTTCTTTCGAAGAGACTCCCGGCCCCGCGCCCCAGTACCGATGGAGAGGAGTGACCCGACCCCGGCCGCACCTGGATGACACGCATGTTGAGGCCAGTCTCCTGAGCCAGCTGCTCGCGGATGTGGCGTGTGGGCTTGGGCGTGGCGGCGAAGGCGGCCTTGAGCGTCTCCAGCTGTTTGGCTTTGATGGTGGTGCGCGGGCCGCGCCGCTTGGTGCCCGAGTTCTGCTCCTCGTTCTCGTTGTTGGCCGTCTCTTTGTCAGACGAGGTCGAGTTGTCCGTCTCCTTGGGGTCGTCCTGCAGGGGGTCCTGGAGGTCCGGGGACAAACTGCGGTCCGTACAGGATGACACTGCGGGCGGACGGATTGGGAAGGGGGACAGCGGTGGTCAGCGGCCGGTTCCATCCGGACCAGGCTACCGCCGGCCGGCCCGGGGTTCCCTCCCGAACCTGCGACAGCCCCTCCCCCCGGGACCCGGCGCCCGCCCACTCTCTCCAGGCGGGGCTGGGCCTTTGAAACCGCCCTTCTCAATCTCAGCCCATCTCAGCTGGGGTCCGGGTACAGAGGGCACGCTCTCTAGAAAACCCACCTTCTTGGAGAGGGGACAGAGCAGTGTGCAGCCCCCCTTCCACCTCCTTTTCTTTCCGCCCTTCCTCCAAATCCCAGAGAATGTCCTCCCAATGCATCTAGAAATTGCCAGGATCCCAAATGACTGAGAGTGAATTGTGCAGTTTCAAATTTGAGGGAGGAGAACTTGGAAAAGCCTCCTGAATTGGAGGAGGGTGCACCCAGCTTCCCTGCAGGACAGGCTCCGAATGTCCTGTCTTCCCCCGTCTTTAATAACCCTCTCCCGACCCTAGAACGGCTCAGCGGGTGAGTTAGGATGATGAGCTCTGAGCCCAGTACAGACCCGGGAACCGGGGGAGGCAGAGTGCGCCAGACCCAGGAGTGTGCTAGGGCCACCGGCCAGGGAAAGGCAGAGGCCTCCATACCCGAGTTGAGGCTGCCCTCCTTGAGGCTGGAGGAGCTCAGGTAGTCATCTTTGCACACAAACTTGTTCTCGTCGATGACGTAGAGCTCTTCACCCGTGGACAGCTGCTTGTTGCACACCATGCAGGTGAAGCAGTTGAGGTGGAAGACTTTGCTCCGGGCTTTGCGCACCAGGTCGCTGGGGGAGATGCCCTGTGCGCATCCTGCACACTTTGTGCCGAAACGCCTGTGGGACACAAGGTGTCCGTCACATTCAGGTGGGCCTAGTGTCCAGTCCCCCTGATTCCTTCCCATTGCCACGGCTTTCCAAAGGCCTCTATTTCCACATCTGTGCAACAGAACCCTAATTCCGTCCTCCCTGTCTAGAGCAGGAGAAGTGGGACAAATGGCCTGGGCTGTTTTGGGGATGGGGACTGTCCTGTCTCTAGGGGGTTGATTCAGACTCTACTGGGCTGTGAAGCAGGGAGCAGTGGGTGCAGCCTGAAACCAAGTCACAGCTCAGAGCATCCCAAGATGCCTTCTTGTCCCCCACATCCCAGCCGGATCTGTTTGGGTTGCCCCGGGAGTCCATGCTCTCGAGGTCTGGCGGGGTTCAAAGCCCGGCAGGCTGGGTTGAGATCACATCTTTGCTTTGCCTCCTGGATCCTTTCTAGTCTTCTGAGGCCCAGGTAGGGCCAATCTGCCTGGCCAGCTGGCCCTAGCAGTGGGGGTGGGGAGCCCCTTTCCAGGGCTGGCTGGACTTGAGCAAGAAGGAGGGAACCTTCTGCTAATTCCCAGCACAAACTGGGAGCCTTTCCTTTTTGAACCATGGAATCAGCCGGATCTAGCTGGGAGCTGTGGACAGCAGGGCCCAAGCGGGGTAGGGACTGAGTTTCAGCCCCACCCCCACCTCTGGCCCTGGCAGGGAGCAGGAGAATGTGACCAGAAAGCCATGCAGAATGCTGCAGGCCAGGACCTGGATTCCCTCTTTCCCTACTTCCAGAGCTAATTCCTTTTCTCCCTGGCTTTGCACTCCGGGAGAAAGAGGCCTCCCGCAGGACAGGTAGTGTAAGCTCTCAATGGGAGGGGTGAGGTGCAGGGTGTGTGTGTGGGGGGAGGGCTCAGGACTCTGGGGACCCCACATCCACTCACACCCATGTCTCTAAACAGGGTGAATTTGGGTGACATTGATGTAGTGAGGGCATTAGAAGCCATAAGTCACTTTTGGCCTTATCCGGCAGCGTAATTGGCCATATGCACCTTATCAAAAATCATTAGGCGCTTTGCAAGCACCGCCACATTAGCAGCGCGGGCCTCGGGGCCGGGGAGTTTACACGTGTAAAGGCGCGGCTGACATTTTCTCCTATTCAAATTCCCTGGTGCCGGGTGCTGGGGCCGGCAGGCTGCCTTTCTCTGTGGTGCTAATCACCCCCCCCCCTTCCCTCAGCGCCTGGAATTTGCACTCACAAAGCTGGCTCTGGTGCCCAGTAGAAGCAGGCAGGCTAAGCTGCCCAAAACCCAGCCCTGCAGGATTCTAGGCTGCCCCTCAGCTTTCCCAGCTGGGGAAACTGAGGCCCAGAGAAGTGAGCTGTCCTGGTCTGTGGGCCCCAAACAGATCGGGAGGTAGGTGCCACAGCCCCGGTTAGACTTCCAAGATCCCGGCTCCCATCCTCCATTTCGTTGGTGCTGTTCAACATGGGAGGCAATGTTTAAGGGGTTGGGGGAATGGAAGGGCAAATTCCTTCTGCCGGTAGCCAGGGCCGACCTTCCCGACCTTCCCGTGGAGCCGGGAAGTTTCTCTGTGTACAGGAGGGCACCCTGTCTTGTGCATTCTGCTGAAGGGAGAAGCCTCCAGAGGCCCCTAACTCTGGGGAGAACCGTTCTCCCTCGAATGGGGCTTGACGCGTGTGTCCTGGGCTTGCAGCGTTGGGCAGGGGAAGGGACGGATGGAGAGCAAGTTTCTCAGGGGCTTCCTCCCCTGCCCTCTGCACCGACCCCCTGGAGGGGCAGGGCAGGCCGGGCAGCTGGCCGCGTCCTTCTTCCTCCGCCTGGGCTCGGCCCTTTCCGGGACCGAGGACAGTGAGCAGAGGGCCTTTGCTCCTCGCTACGCTCGTGAGCCCGGGAGGCGGGGATGGGCAACCTGGTCCCCCTTCCCCTGCGCCCTGGTGGAGCGCGGGCATGGCGGGCTCTTACCTGAAGAAGTCATTTTTGCAGTAGAGCTTGCCCTCGCGCGAGAAGCACTTCTCCGAGAGGTTGGTTTTGCACTCGCAGCACTGAACACATTTGATGTGCCACGCGCGGTCCAGCACGTTCAGCAGAAAGCGGTCGAGGATGGGCCGCTCGCAACCGGCACAGTGCACCATCATAGCCCCGCGCCCTGGCGGCTCCGGCCGCCTCGCCGTCCCTAGGGGCCGCTGGCCCTTGGGCCTCCGGGCCCCGCGGCTGTTCTCCGCCTCTTGTCGCCGCCGCCGCCCGGCGAGTCCGGTCCGGACCTAGACTCAGCCAGTCAAGTCCTTGGACGATCTCTGGCCTGGCTCTGGGCTGCCCAGAGTGGGTTGGTGGGGGGCGGCGTTCACAACCTCATGTCCCAGTTGCGCGCGCCCCGGCGCCTGTTCCGGGCTCCCCCAGGTGTCTCCGGTGGCTGCTAGCCTCGGCACTGCCGGGCGGCTTTCCCCGGTGGCGAAGGCGCCGGCACTTTCCCCCACTTTCAAGCGGTCCCGATCCTCATCTTTGTCTGGCCGCCGCCTAATTCGCGCATCCTTATTCAGATTTGGTGACGTGGCGCGGCACGTAGGGGGCCCAGCGGCCAATGGGCGCGCCGTGGCCATGGCAACCTCTTAAATTTATAGCATATCTAAATTGGCTACTGCGTTGCGGTCCGGACAGAGCAAAAAAAACAAGGCATCCGTATTGTTGAGTATTAGCTTCTACCTGGTTCGGAGGCTAAGTAAGTATTTACCTTCCAGTTTGGGGCTGGGGGAGGGGTGCGGGGCGCGCGACACCAACACGGACTTTTTCTTCCTCTCTCCTCGCCAATATTTGGGGGCCGGGGTTTCAAGGCCTAGTCAGGGAGGGGCCTCCCTTCCCGTTTTGCCATCCCTGGAACTTGCAGAAGTTGCCCGAGGCCGGGAGCGCGCTCTAGTCCGCCTCCCCTTCCCCTGCCCAGCCCCACCCCCATTGGACTTCTGCACTCCGGTGCCCCCGGGGTCTGAGCCCTGGAGCTGCGACAACGCGGTTCTCTGGACTCTAGATTCTTTTGTCATACACTAAGCTGGGGCCCAGCCGGGCCTTTCTCATGGAAAGAGTGGAGGCCACGCGGCTTGGGTAGCTTTCCCAGCCTGGCCACAGGGCCCAGGCCTCTGCCCAGACCCAGGTTGGGGCGGTGTATGGGTGTGTGTGTCGCCTGATCCCCTACGCCAGAGTTTCAGGCCTGAGCGCAGCGGCCACTCAGCTCAGAGAGTTGTAGAGGGGGGCGGTGAGGTCCACCCTGGATGGGTCTCCACTCAGGCGACTCAGAGACTCAGAGGTGACCCTCACCACATATCTCCTTTCCCGGCCACACCTTCCAGATTCCAGATCAGTAGGTCCAGGCGCCAAGGTGAGTGGGTGGCCCCACGGCAGCAGAGAGGCTGGGGATTACTTGGGCACTGTTCTCACTCATCCCACCAGCCGGCGGCTGTGTGTGAAGTTGGGCCCTTCACAGGGCCCGGGAGGAGCAGTCCCAGGCTTTCCTAGCTCCACAGGACTCTGAGTTTGTGGGCAATATGTTTGTTTGTGTGCGTATATGTGTCCCCGCAGGTCTTGGAGGGGGGAGTGTGTGGGCTTGAGAGGGATGAGAAGAGACCAGGGCTTTTTTTTCCCCCCTCTTGAAGGCCATCCTGGCCACCCTCAGGAGCCTCCAAGCTGGGGAGGATGGGACTGTGTCTCTCAGATATTTGTTCTGCTCCTGGGCTGCTCAGAGTGGGTTGGTGGGAGGGCCGTGTTCACAAGAGGGCTGATGGGTAGGGCTTGGGCCCAGAAGACTGTTGTGCCAAGACTTGGCATCGAATGTTTGTTTGGGTGGACTCCCTGAGCTTGTTAGTGTATATTTGCTGTTTGGAGATTGCAATATTTTCATCTGTTTATAGTCTGTTCATTTTGGGAGTGCATTTTGGTATGTGTTTTTCTGTGTGTGTGCAAAAATGCATGTTTATAACTGCGTATGGTCCTCCTAATATTTGTGTGTGAGTGTGTGCGTTTTGGTGTTTGTGTGTGTGTGCTTACGTGAGGCAGCACGAATGTGAGGATGTTTGTATATGTCAGTGTGTTTGTGGAAGATTATTTCTATGTGTGCGTGTTAACACTGATGTGAAAGTAAACTCTAAAAAATGTGTGTGTGTGTGTGTGTGTGTGTGTGTGTGTGTAGATGAGACTCTGCAGGTTTGAGACCCTCCCTGTGTATGACTGAGGTCTGGCTTGGGCATTTGGAGTGCAGAATTTTGTAGATCTGGGTGCCGTCACTGCAAGTGCCTGCCTGTGTGTTCAGACAGCAAATTTTTGTTTATGTGACTCCTCTAGGTCGGGGAGGGTGTTTGTATTTGTGTGTGCTCCTAGTAGTGTTTACCTTTCAGGGATTGGGAGGAGTGAGATTTTTGTGTTGGAGCACAAAGATGCTTACTCTCTCCCTAGTTCCTAGTCAGGTCAAGCGTTGTCCCCCCACGGTCTCTAGAGGAGAAGGTCTCACTGGTGACAGAGAATCCTTGGGTGCTGGTCTCTGGTGAGTCCTTGACCCACCAGCTGGGCCTCTGGAAGAGGAGTCCAAATGGGCTGCTTCTGCTTGCCAGTACTGTCCCCTGACCCTCTGTCTGGCTGGGGACAGGCACATAGAACAGTAGTGAGGCTTCTGGCTCAGGAAGAGTTGCTCTCACTTGGCCTCCTAGGCCCAGCTGAGAGAGGCTCTGAGAGCCTCAAAGGAAACTGCAGTTTCTGGTAGCACCTGGCTCTGCCCGCCTGGGGCATGAATGGTCCTTGAGCTCTGGCAGGGCATAGATGGAAAAAAAAAAAAAAAAAAAGAACCCAGAGAAGACGGGAGAGGCCCCAGCTCCTGGGAAGTGCGGCTGCCGCCTGCTGCCTTCTCCGTCTTTGTCTCACCGAGCGAGCGAGGCTCCAGCGCTCACCTCTCTGTTCCAGGCTCTGGCTCGCTCTCAGACCCGGCGCCTGTTCTGTCTCCCTTGCCGGTTTCTCCCTCCCCTTTCCCTCTATTTTCTCCTTCTCTTTTTGTCTCCCTCAGCTCCTCTCTGCCGGGGTTGCTTTCTGAGTCCAGCATCTGGATAATGCTGCGAGTGACTTTTCTCATTGTGCACCCCGTACAGATTTGGGGGTGTGGGGAGAAGTCTCACACCCCCACTCATACCCTCTACGGTGATCACATTCTCTACCCGGGAGCCCCTTCTGCTCCAGACTAGGCACCCGAGTTCACACTCCATGGAGACCTCACAAAAAATTCAAGGACCCAGATCGGTGTGCCTCCCCAGCCCCGCTGGGTCCACTCTCAGCCTGCGCCCCGTAGCTCTTTCTGACTCTTTCTGACAAGTCCTCTCTCCCTCTTCTCCAATGCACAGCCAGGCCTTAGCCACTGCGCAATGGCAGGCCAGGTAGGTCGCAAGATAGGGACAGCTAGCAGATAGCAGCAGCTGCCCCCGGTCTCCCTGAGCCTGGATAGGGGTGGGTCACCCTGTGCTGAATCCCTGGTTGCAGAAGAGGGTTCTATTTCCAGAAGCCCTGGTCTGATCTTTCAGCTCTTAGAGCAGAATCTGCTCAGGTCGCAGCACTGCCCACCTCTAGGGGCTGGCCCTCCACACAGCCCAACTTCAGTTCCAGGAACGGCTCTGCCCGCCCTCCATGCCCCTGCTGCCTGGAAGCCTGTGTTGCTTTCACCAGTCCATCACCTTCCCTGGTCCACAGCATCCCCAAACCACGGCAGACCAACGATTAGAGGCATTATCCTGCCCCAGCAGCGTTAACAGATGGCGACCAGGCAGTGAAATCCCCTCCTATATGTAACTAATAAACCGCTTGTGTCTTAACAGGGTAATGCATGGAGACGCAATGTCACTTATACAAGATGTTGATGGAATTTACTATATAAAAATCTTCCTCCTAGAGTAAAGAGTATCAACATTACAACTCGACAGACGGCGGCGGGATAAGTAAAACAGACAAAAGACAAACAAGATAATAATCTGTTTCCAATCACTTAAGCCCTGTAGAGTTAGTAATCTGCGGTTTGCATATTCCCCCTTGAGTTCGGTAATTAATTACGGGCGAGAAGGCTGCACACCCGCCCCAAGTGAGAGTTTTAAGGCAGCTGAGGTGGGGCATCGGGTACCTTCCTGGACTCCTCCAGCCAGGGACACGGGGCAGTGGCCGGAAGGAGAGTTCCTCCGGCCGTTCCCAGCCGCCTTTTCCGCAGGTGGAAGGGGAGGACATTTCAGTTGCAGGCCTTGTACTCCTGATCGGGGAGTCGCCGGCCTGGGGGATTCTGCAGAAAAGGGGACCAGGGCTTCACCGGCGGCTAGTGGTTCTCCTGGTCCCTCTTAAGGGCACTCCCTCCCTTTGAATAGCCGCGAGTGGCCTGCTTTTTTTGAAGATCGCGCGCGCCGGGGGCCGCGGTGGCTGGGGGGGATCTAGGGGGCGCGCCCCTCGCTCCCTTCTCCCCTCGGTATCTCAGGCGAAGCAGCGGGTCCTCTCGCGACTTCGATCGTTACCGCCTCCCCACCCCCAACTCTCACACGAACTCCCCCCACCCCAAGAGCCGGCGCGGTTTAACATTAAACAAACGCAGCGAGCGCCTGGGAGCTGCGCTCTCGGCCGGGTCTGCGAGGCGGCGGCGGCGTTACAAATTGTAAATTTAAATTGCTCGCCGGATTCATTACCTCCCCTCTTTGATTTCAGCCAGCCGTGAAAAATTATACTGGTGTACCACTGAGAAACTGTTTTGCCGCAAAGAGCCCGCGCCTAATCACTGGCTTTCTCCCTCCGACAAAAGTGTAATTATTTTGTTTGGGGTGTAAATATAGGCCGCGCCGCGCACACACACTCAGCGTCCCGCCGCGCCGCAGCGCACGGCCCGCCGGCGGCGGGAATCTGCCCCGGAGTAGGAGTGGGCGTGGAGCCTGCGCCCGCCGCCTGCAGGCCCGAGCCGCTGGTGGCTGGTTTAGCGCTCTGGCGGGATCCGGCGAGCGGAGGCGGCAGACTGGGTCCTCAACTCTGTCCTCGGGAGTTGGGTTTTGCCGGAGGACTCTGAGATCCTGTGCACCCAAGCGGACCGGGGCGCACGGCCAAGGGCTGTGATGTATGGGTCAGGGCGTGGGTTCAGGTCTAGGTG